CCAGGATATTAATAATGTCTGTCTTCCGTGTGGATACTTTGATACCCAACAAGAGGATGCATAATTTCCTTTGCAGAAGTTTATAAAGCTAATGAAGACTCTTTTCTCTGCTTTCATGAAACTTACTATATTCCATATTCTTGAAAAGTGTGACTAGTAAATATTTCTGAGGCTTCTGCACTTCAGACTTTATCTGAAGTGATGAAAATGTCCCAAATGTATTGTGGGTAAGTGCCAGACAAGCAGATGCTTGGAAGTAGACAGAATGTGTTCACTAAGTTTTATTTTCTCACAAAATGAATCTCAGAAGCTTGACTAATTTTGGACATTTTTTCACACTGAATGGCTTATGATGGTGTCTTCATTTCAGCAAAGACCTAGTAAAAGTCAGGTGTGATCTAACAGGCCTACACCTGGTTTCTTCTGGACTTAACATATCTTGCTGCATTTCCTAGGACCTAGGATGTAAGCACGTTCTAGGATATTAGTGCTCTAGGGAAACTAAAGCCACTAGACAGACATACTGTCCAGCAGCCAGGGGTCCACATCTTTGCCAGAGAAGCTACAAATATATTATTTTTCTTCTGGGTCAAAACCACTGTGAAAATGAAAATCTTCACATACGCACATCTGCCTCTACAATCTAACTCTTCCTAAATACTACCAAACTAGGACTACTTCCAGGGCAGTCAAGCTCTGCATCTGGGGGTTAGGTTTCCTATTCACATAAGTTCACTCAAGACAGAGATAAGAGTACGTTAAGAATGAGGAAAAGAGCAGCTCCCAGGAAAGAAAATTCAGTTCCTCCACAGCACCTAAAAAAAAATGAAGAAAGGTATATTAGCTCATCTGTACAGTCCCTGGAAACTGTGTCCCAGGGTACTTGAAGACAGTAGAATCAGAGCCACTACCCATCCACCTCTCCATTTTTTTTTTTTTAGTCTCTTTATTCCCAGCCTGTATGGTGCAGCATATTTTTCTGACGGTTACCTCGTACTTGGTGCTGTGGTAGGCAAAGGTTATTAGAATTTATATGCAAAGTTCAATGAATATAGAATTAAAAAGTGCCTTGGAGACATTGCTGAAATGAGATGCCAAATCCCAGAATTTGTATCTTTATGAGGAAAATTTGAATACAAAACACCAAGGTTTATGGCTCTTGCACATATTAATTCATACCAATCCTTGTTCTAAGAGGACTAAAGGGGCTATTTTTCATCTTGGGCTGAGACAGGAACTCTTCCAGATTCACTGACTTGCTGTGAGAAGTATACTTTATCAGGCTGATAGATACCTTTAAAATGTAAATCAGAATGGTGAGCTTATCACAAGACTGCCATTAGCAGCCTATAAAATTCTTGATGTTGCAGGTCACAAGACATTTTGGGAACAAGGTGAGAAAACTGGTCAGCAAAAACAGACCCTTAACTTGACACTTTATAATATGTCTTATATGAAAATTACCAGAACTGAAAAAAAAAATAATATGACACATCCACCCCCTTGACAGCTAGCAATTACCTTGATTTTGTGGGAGGGTTTAGATTTTAAAAGATATTATTATAATTGTGCAGATTCAAGAAATGTAGTATTCCCTGGAATCACCCCTGGAAGTGTTCAAGGCCAGGTTGGATGGGGCTCTCAGCCGCCTGGTCTAGTGAAAGGTGATCCTACCCATGGGAGGGAGGTTGAAACTAATTGATCTTTAAGGTCCCTTCCAACCCAAACCATTTTATGATTCTATTATTCTTTGAATTCTTACCTCATCTTCTGCCCAAGTGCATTGTCTTTCCAGAGAGAAAAAGGAAAACTATTTGTCCTATGGAAACCCCTGATGTTCTCCTTAAGGAGCTCTGTGCAATTTTTTGTCTCCAGTGTCCTACAGGTAGTCCTTTGGGTTCATATCTTTTTTGTTGTGTTGTAAACTATTCACTTCAGGTTTACATTTCAGAAACACTCAAGGCTCAGAAGCTTGAAATAATGATGCTAGCAAAAGATCACAAAGGATAGACATTTCCTCTGCAAACAAACAATATTTACATTAATACTTTCAAATGTATTTAATTACTGGAATGACAGTGGCCATGATATTTCCATCCCTGTAAGGCTTTTACTGATTTTTCCTCTTGCTGGTAAAAGCACATGCTGCACTCTATGTCTTTTTCATGCACACGTGCAAGCACACACGGGCAGATGATGTGCTTTCAAGCCATTCGCAGATGGTTTCCCCATCAGGGTTTACTTTGCCTTTTAGGCCTCCTGCTTCACATCCTCCTCTCAGTGCTTCAGTCCCTGTTTTATGTAATTAACTTCTGTTCTGCCCCTCATTTTTTTTTCTTTTCATAAATGCATTTCACTCTGATGCTCAGAATCGACTGTCTCCCCAAAGCACTGTGATATTTAACAGCATCCAGAAAAAACGTGGTTAGAGAACTGAGACACTTAAAGGAGACACTGCTGTAGTAAGTGTGCATTCACATTTTTGAATAGCTATTCAGAGGGTGGGAATGTAGATGAGGGAGAAGCTATGAAAGGGCTTATTACTAATTAACTGTATCTATTTCTCCCCCTTTTAAACTTCTTTTTGTTTATCATTTCAGCTGGTAGGGTAATACACTAAATTAAAGCTGCAGAACACAATTATAATTAAGATTGAAAAAGCCAATTGCCTGTTAGCAAACTACCAAATGATAATAACGTAAGGCTTATTTATAGTTCATTGCTAAGTATTCCACAGATTTGCATCATTAATGCATTTGCTAATCTCCAAACATTTTGTTCAGTAGCCTTTTATTTACTATTGAAGGTACGATTACTCTTCTCGAGCCATCCTTTCTAAAAGGATACCCAGCAAGAGGTGGGCTTTCATCTTGTTTGCAAAGTTCAGCAAACATATGCTTTAGTCGTTTCCTCCCCTATGAAATAGTAATAATGGTATATAGTTACTATCATCATATCATGCAGAAAACCTTGCCATAAAGATCATACTGTACATTGTTCAGTACTCATAGCATCTTTCATTTCTACAGCTGCTTTTTCTGACTCATCTCATGTATTCTAGAGAGGAGATGCCAAACCATCTTACCCAGTGGAGGGACTGGGAACCTCTGGTCAGAGTCCCAAACACTGGGCCCCAGTTTTCATTCCTTTCACAAGAAAGTAGAGCAAGACCTGTTTAAAGAGTTTTTTAAAAATTACTCGTGATAGATTTTGTTTTGTATTTGGTGTGTATTACTGGGAGTTTAATAACTTTTATATTTTCTTTTAATTATTATAAAAAGTCTGCATAACTGTCATTTCAGATGTGTGATGGAGTGTAAATAATTGTGATGCAACTTTTTTGTGAAGTGTGTTTTTTGTGACAGATGAGTTTGAGTGGCCTTGTAGTACTAATTATTGGAGTTATCCCATCATATGTATAGCAGTTACAGAACCAGCTTAGGCACTGGTGACTTTCTGGCATAAGCTGACTAGGCATTACAGGGGCAATCAATTAACACAAGGGTGTCTTATCTCTCATTGTGCCATGATGTCTCTTGAAACACAAGTGCAAAAAAGCTCCTAAACCTATGAGCACTGCATGATTGAGAAGGGATATGTCATATACCAAAGACCAAGGATAGTAATGCAAGTTTATGTGGTGGATGTAGGTTAAAGAGAGACAAAATGGCTATGTTGAATACTACAAGCTGAATTATGCCTGTAGCTACTGCCACAGGTGAGGGTCTAGGAGACTAGAGCACATCATCTTATCAAAAAAACCTGAGGGATCCTTTACAAAAATATAGCTCTTTGTCTCCCTGCTGCTTTACTCAGAAGGAGAATGAGGGTTAGAAATGAATGATCTACCCATTCCTCAGCCCTGCTTGATAGCATGGTCTGTGAAAGGGAGAGACAGAAAGAAAGCAAGTTTACCCATGTCCTACACATGTGGAAGAATGTCAGCAAACCTGTGTAAGTAGATATTCCCAAACCCGAAGCAGGGCTGCGACTTTTCCCAGTCACAACTGGCCCTGTGAGCCAGCCTGTAAATACATTTAGTTTATTCTTCAAAGACAGGTACCTTACAGTTCAAGCTGGAAAAGCATGTGAGAGCTGAAAAAAAAAGGGAAATAGTGGTGCAAAGATGAATGGGCAGGATGCAAGGAAGGGCCATGGAGGCAGGCAAGAGCTTCGCTGTCACTATGACAAGGGGAATTGCAGTCTGAGAGCACGAAGTTGCCAAAAATCTTGCCAAGAGACTAATGTAGCACAGATTTCCCCTGGATGCATTCTCTTAGGAGCTGGATGCAATCATCCTTTCCATAGGTTGGCTGAGCACAGGTGAATCCAGGTGACAATCGTCCAAGTAATTTCTTCTTCCTGTACTGCCTATCATTAATTTTGTTATGGGTGGGCAAGTGACTTGCCCCAGAACTGGCCAGATAATTACATTGTCATTATTAACCACATTACTGACAGGGAAAAAATGCAGTTATTTTTATACCTGCATATTATAAAATCAGCTGCTTCAACCCTAAGACTAATTCCTCATTATTTTGCAGCAGTAAGTAACTGTCATACATAATATTTCTAGCTCCTACCCTCAAAGAAGCAGACAGTACTCCAAATGAAATCTTGCAGGATTTTTAGTAAGCCATGCAATCTGATGATGGGATTTGTTCGCTACCAGCCACTCAATAAAAATTATAATGCTGTAACTAGAAAATAGGCAGTCATGAGACCCTGTTACCAGGCATAAGGACTAGCAATTCCTATCCTGTTTAGATTCGGAATCAAACTCACCTCTTTTTTTCTTTAGAAAAAAATACTTTACCTGGAGAAACATGTTTCTATAACATTTATCCTTCACATCCTGGAGTCCTGATGCCTTTAGGTGTGACTCCTGAGAGGAGGCACTGCAAAGTCTTAATGGAGGTAGATGTTAGGTAAAACATAAGAGGAAACTTATTTATATCATAACTGCTGATATTCCTTGTATCTCTATTCATTTCTTTCAGGTACTGTTGCGTGATTTACAATGGAAAAATTGTTCTGCAGCATCCTGGTGTTTGGAATGGCTGTCACAGTCAATGCTTGTCCCAAATATTGTGTCTGTCAGAACCTGTCTGAGTCACTGGGGACTTTGTGTCCCTCCAAGGGTCTCCTTTTTGTGCCGCTGGACATAGATCGAAGGACTGTTGAACTCCGTCTTGGGGGCAACTTTATTATTAATATCAGCCGACAAGATTTTGCCAATATGTCTGGACTTGTTGACCTTACTTTGTCCAGAAACACCATCAGTTACATACAGCCCTACTCTTTCACCGACTTGGAGAGCCTTCGGTCTTTACATCTGGACAGCAACAGACTGCCTGACATTGGAGAGGATATTTTGAGAGGTTTAATTAACCTTCAGCATTTGATTTTAAACAACAACCAGCTAAGCAGCATTTCTGATGAAGCCTTTGAGGATTTTTTGCTGACATTGGAAGACTTAGACCTTTCCTACAATAACCTCCGAAGCATTCCCTGGGAATCTATAAGAAAGATGATAAACTTGCACCAGCTCAGTTTAGATCACAACCTGATAGATTATATAACAGAGGGGACGTTTGCAGATCTTCAGAAACTGGCCCGATTGGATCTAACATCCAACAGACTGCAGAAGCTCCCCCCTGACCCTATATTTGCCAGATCTCAAGTAATTCCATTAGCCGTTACCCCATTTTCTCCACCTTTGTCTCTCAGCTTTGGGGGCAATCCACTGCATTGCAACTGTGAGCTACTGTGGTTAAGGCGACTTGACAGAGATGATGATATGGAAACTTGTGCTTCTCCTCCAGGTCTAAAGGGAAGGTACTTCTGGTACGTACGGGAAGAAGAATTTGTTTGTGAGCCTCCTCTTATCACACAACATACTCACAAGCTGCTGGTTTTAGAAGGGCAAACTGCTACGCTGAAATGCAAAGCCATTGGGGATCCCACTCCCATCATTCACTGGGTAGCCCCTGATGACCGTCTGATCGGAAACTCTTCGAGGACAGCTGTCTATGACAATGGCACCTTAGATATACTCATCACCACCTCCAAGGATTATGGAACTTTCACATGCATAGCAGCCAATGCTGCTGGAGAGTCCACTGCAACAATTGAACTCTCAATTGTTCAGCTTCCCCATCTCAGCAATGGCACAGGCCGATCAGCTCCCCCGAAATCCAGGCTCTCCGACATCACCAGCTCCACCAAGTCAAATCGTGGGGAAACAAAAGGCCCACCAGAAAGGGCTGTCCTGGTGTCAGATGTGACCACTACCTCAGCTTTGGTCAAGTGGACAGTGAGCAAGTCGGCCCCTCGGGTAAAAATGTATCAGCTGCAGTATAACTGCTCGGATGATGAAGTCCTGATCTACAGGTAAATGCAGTTGTTTGGTCCTCTGATGATGACAAGGGGGCAGAAATCAGCATATAGATTCTTTTACTGCTAGGTCACTGATTTGACTTTGAAGTGAGATAGCACTGTCACCAGTAGCATTAGTAGTGTCTGACAAATTTAAATTCTATCTGTCAGTTTGCCTGTTGTCTGTTCATTGATTTTCTGCCAAAGTAATACATTACAAATTTCTGTAGTATTAATTGTCTAACAACAGCTGTTTTCAGTGAAATTTCCAATTAAGGAAAAAATAGTACTGCAGTTAGTAGACTCCTTACTAGGCATAACAAAGAAAGGAATACTTGAAGACAGAAGTCAGAAATTTCCCTTTCCACCTCCTGTAGGTGGGATTGAAACACACTACTGAGAGAGGAAGCGATGTGGGAGGAAGTTTATGCTGTCTACCCATAACACAGACTCTAATTACTCTGTGATTTAAGATCTGGGGTTGTTAGCAAGAGATTTTTCACCTGTATAAAAAGACCTCATTTTTTTAATTCACTAAGAACTGTTTTACACAACTGTAATGGCTGACAACTTTGTATTAATGTTTTATACAATATTAAATGCAAGAAGAGATAGATATAATTTCAGATGCAAGCCCTAAATGTTCCTTATGTTCCTCCAGTTCTACAACCCCTCTGACTTTTAATGATGTAAAGCAAGAATTGCTCTTGCAGTGAAGCAACAATAAATTTTAGAGATTAAAAATGTGTAGGAACAGTACGGGAAAACAGCATTACTGTTTCTTTCCTTCTATATTATAAGAATGATTGACACAGTATCTTCATGCTAGTGATGAATCCCTAGAAACCACTCTTTCCTTTATTTTAATTGCAAAGGAAGGACTATCAGATACATTGAACTGAAGTCTCTCTTTGGCTGTATGTGAGCTACCAGCAGAAGTCAGAATCTCATGGAAAAGTAGAACCAAACACACCAAGCATCCTGAAGCACTGAAGAAAAATTGGATTTGGTAGAGGAATAGTGGGTTTTAGGGTTTGACTCTAATTTGAGTATAAACTGTGGCCAAAACACAGTCAAAGCCATTGACTTCCTCTGTAGGCTTGCTCTTATTACCCGCTGGTTACTCTGTCCTTCTCCTACTGCCTGTCGGGGAGAGCTGAGGCACACATCAAGTCACGGTACCCAGCCTCCAGATCCCGCAAGAGGCCTTATTATTTTCTTCTTTACCATAGTATAATTTTCTTTACTATGAGGAAATGTAATTTTACTGCCTCAAAATAAGAGGTAGTAAATGTTCATATGTCATTTTTCCCTCACCCTTCTCTTACAATAAAATCTAATTTTAAAGTTTCTTCATAGCTGAATGTCCGTGCAGTACTTTTATCTGAATCACTTGTAGAACAGAAAGAATAAGATAATTTATTTAGCTACTCCATACTCACTCGTTCATTATCAAAATTAAGAATATTGACCATCAAGTCCAAAGAACAATTTTTTTAAAGAATATTTATTAAAAGTACTAAAATAATCTGAGGAAATTCAGTTCTGTCCACTTCCATTCCTCAGTTATAAAAATATGCTGAAATAATCAAATCAATTAACAAGTGGACATTACTTGCTTTGCTCTGGCTACAGAGCAAAGTGGAACAGCGGAATAGTGGAACTTGTGTGTTAGCTTTGGGACTTGCAACTATATGGCGTTATGTAGAATGAAAGGATAAGATAAAACTAGATAACGATAGAGAATTATAATTATAATAAAAGAAAACATGCCAGTTCCATTTTTTTCCCAAGGCAATGCTTTTGGCAAAAACTCACCAGTGCTTAACATCTGTAAGGCTGAAAAGTACTTTGAAGGATGTTTATAGTCATATGTTTGTTGTATAGCGAATTTGGCCAAGCGTACAGGAATATCCCTGCAACCAGAAAGAGAAGCTTGCAGGAGTTGTCAGGTGTTGGAAGTGGTTGCACGTGTCCATTTTCTGAGGAGGAGGATGGCCAGGTAAAAAAACCAAACAATGGAGAAAGGAAGACATGCTGTCTAGTAGTTGAGTGGATGAGAACCTGGTGTCATGGACAGAAATGACAGAAAGATGCTATCTTGCCAGCCTGGTCTAGAGAAACAAGTGGCTGTCAAGGTGTCAGGCAACTCTAAATTTTTATCCCATCTCCAATGCTTCCTCTCAGTGAGGATTTGGCCCTTTGTTTCTTTACTTGTTTGTGGTTCAGTTTTTCAGAAGCAGCGAGGAAAGTGCTATTTCTGTAAATCTCCCATCAGGCCTTTTTGATGATTCATTGATGATGCATAACTCTTTTCATTCACAGCTCTCAAAAGTACTTCAACAAAGAAAACAAATTTTATTTCTCTACATTTTGCACAGGGAAAAATTAAGCATAGAAAGATGAAGTGATTGTCCAGCATCTGAGAGTTAATCAATGGTACTCATAATATCGAAACCAGTTCTTATGACTTCCAGTCAGGAACCACTCAGTCCCTTAGAGTTAATTAACTAAATCTGTTTTGCTTTAAGTGGTCCGATGCATATCACTGCAATGAGCGTGTAGAAAAACCTAAGGGAAAAGGATTTCTACAGTGCTCTGCTCTATAAAATGCTGTGTATGTGCTAAATGGGACGTGACACTGCTTAGCTGCTAAAATGATGAGCACTTAATATATGCTAAGATAGTCAGTATATCAGGACTGAGGCACATTGTCTATGCTCAGCTTGAAGGAATCCTGCTAGTAAGAAACATGCACAAGAGAAAGAAATTTGCTGCATTCTCTGCTAAGAATTTTTCATGAACAATGTACACATACTGAAAGAATGAAAGCAGAAGTTCTCCCCTACCCATTGATGTGAGCCCCATCTCTCCTGATCATTACCGAAGACACCAGTGCAATTCCCCTTTCTGTCCTAACTGTGGTCTTCCACCAGAGCTGCAGATGGTGCAAAGGGGACAATGGCTCCATGAGAATTCAAGGTTTGGGAGACAGTGGCAAGTGTTCTCTGTTGGGCATCCTGCTCACAGGGAGCTGAAATTGTACCAGAATCTGAAGTTTGGCTTTGGATATACCAGTGCCATTAGAATGACAATTAGCAGGAGGAGCATTCTGTGTCTCTTTCCCCATCTGACCTTCACTTGTATTTGCTATCTGAGGGCCTTTGCTGAAGCTAGGAGCCTGTTTTGATGACTTTCAATGCATTTAGAATGCATGTTTCTGATACTGATCTAATGAGTAGGTCCCGGATTAAAACTCTGTTTCTCACGGTTTCCCAGAGAGTGAAGGAGAAGCTAGAGGAAGAGAGTCATAGCTCATGCACGTCCCAGAGGCAGCTTGGTCAATGTCAAATTGCAAAGACAACAGCTGCCCTAACATGGACACCAAATCAATAGCCTGAGGCTGCCCAGAGGTGACATGCTGTATTATCTTTACCACATCATTAGAAGAAGGGAACATTCTCTATTTAGTGGAGCATGCACTTAGCTCTTAGTGGTATCTCAGAACTTCTTTTGTGCCTTGACCTCTGCTCCTATTGAAAAAGATCCTGCAACAGGGGCCTGTGCAGGAGATGTGTGTCCCGCACAGGCAAACACCATCACTTTACTGATCTATGTGTGCTCCCAGTGGACTCTTTCTTTCTCTCTGACTAGTCCTTGCACTGTTTTTTCTAATCCTACTGTCAAGGTAATATTGTTTCACCTGGAACAGAACTAGGATTACTCTCTTTCTAGGAAGAGTGAGAGGAAAGCTTGTTATGTTTTCTGTATGGGTTTTTTTTTGTTGTTTTTTTTTTTTTTTTTCTACTTACTTTTCTTGTTTTTTCTTTGTTTGGTTGGTTGGTTTTGGTTTTTTTGGGGGCGTTGTTTTGGTTTTTTTTTGTTTTGCTTTGTTTTGTTTTAATTTGCATTCTTTCTCTTTTCTGATTTTTGTTGCTTATTGATTCTAAATTTCCTTTTCTCTTCACTCTCCTTAATTGTCCTGTTCATTTTCATGGTATTCAAACCAAGATGGAGAAAATGGAAATTGCTGGTCATATTACAGAACCTCCTCATGTCCAGCAGGTGTCTGTAACAGTCTAATAAAGCTATGACGATCCTAGCTATGGGAGCAAAAACTGGAATGATTTGTTGAACACGCAAGTGCCATTTAAGGGTCTCAAGGGCTTCCATGTTAGTGAGGAGGCAGGGTTATTCCAAACAAGGGATTCCACAATCTATTAACATTTCCAGTAATGAGGTGACATAAGAGGAAAAATGGATTTACATTTCTCGGATCCAGTTTTTACATTCGGGGGAAAAAGGATTTGATATTTCCAGTAAGCAAGATTATACTGGGGAAGGATGGTCAGCTTTTCCGGAAATAAGGATTTACACAGGGAGGAAGAAAACAATGAGATATCTGATAGCATCATGCAAAGTCTCTCTACTTCCTGCTGTGGGAGATCAGGACAATCCACATGAAATGAATGTCAATGGATCCTCTGGTCTTTTAGATGATGGGGTTTTTTTCCCCAGCCTCTGTGGCCCAAGGTTTCCTGTTTAATCCCAGCAGTTCTTTTTCTGTTGGTATCTGAATTTCAGACTGCAACAGGTATCCTCTGTTCATATACAGGGGTTAGGAGGGCACAGCCTTTTAGAGTGGAAATTAACAGTTCTCTGAGAAGTGCAAGTAATTTTTTTAAACTACTGTCCCATAATAAGGTCCCTTGGCCAGCACATGTAGCCATGGCTCATAATTCTCTGATCCAACAAACCAGATCTACATGGACACTGATAAGATGTGTCCACAAGTGTTGAGAGATGTGGTTTAACGTCAGTGAGAGGCCATTTACTTTGAACAATAATGGCATTTGGAAAAGATATCTGAGACCGGAGGCAATCAAATATAATTCCTATCTTCAAACCAGGCAAGAAGGAGGACCCAGGGAACTATAGGCCTGTCAGCCTCACCTCCAGCACCTGGAAAGGTGATGGAGAAACTAATCCTGGGAACATTTAGAGAAACATGTTGGATAA